TTGGGCAATACTGTGTGAAATTTAAAGGGATAGTATTTTTGAGAACCTCATGTCGGTATGTTTTTGACGTTATAGTGTTGTTGAGTTGGCTCCGTGGTTACAAAACGTGTTGATTTTAAAATTAAATAACATGAATTCTATTAAATCACATGGAATGAAACTTCACACTTAAAACAAATAAAATATTTTTACATATGATAATGTGCTCATTTTGAATTTCTTGAAGATAGTTTGACGAAGGTTGCCATAGTCCACGAATTTTCTTCGAAACGCTCGTATATATAAAAGAATTACGATTTTTTAAAGTTTTATGAGTATTACAAAATATGAAAGATACTAAGGATATATACAAAAACACCAATAAATACTTGAGATTTTTTAATTTCTGTGTATAAAATTTCAAGAACAGGTATGTTATTCCTTTCTTTAATAATATTTTTATGACCCCCTCTTAAAGAACTTCAGTCATAACGCCATAAACACACCATTACGACGTCCATCTACTTATCAGTTAAAAAAAAGAAGTTTTAAAAATCAGTGCTTTAACATTGTAAACTTAATCTTTTCAAAGCTTCGTGAAATCCTGAGGTCAATAATTAATCTTCAAATAGAAGATGAGATGCCATGCTTTGATCCCAGAGAAGTAATCTTTATAACAAATAAGTGGGACACCATAGCAAGAGATGTGAGCAATGACGAAGATAGCAGCGATAAAGATCAAGAAGAAAAGACCTGGAAAGAGCTCAAAAAGGCTATCAAAACCATTTGGCCTTTAGTAAAAGAGGAAAATATTTTCAAAATGAGCCTTAAGCATGTATGTATTGCAAAAAAGATGTGCAGTCTATACACTATCCCCTCCTATACTTACTACAGAATAACAAACAAAAAAATAAAAAATTCTAACATGTGATATTTGTATCATTACACTTATATTTGGTCCAAGGTGATGTCACTTTCATAGTATACTGTTCTGTAGTTAACAGTCTATATAATTACTTTGTGTAGAGAAGGTTTATTTCATATATATTACAACTTTTTGTCACATTAGGTCATGCTTTGAGAATGTCACCAAACGCGTTTTGAAGGAAAGGTATTTTTTGTCAACTCTTTTCCTCTGAATGATTCTGCTCCGTTTGATTTTCAACTTATTAAACTCAAACACATATTAGAATCGAAAATGGTCATTTATTAGCAAAATGACGATCAACGTTTTCATATACACAACATATGTACAATATGGAAAAATAATAACAAAACATATGCTAAATAGTTATAGTTAAAAATTGTGTCCCTGAAAATCAAAGGTGAGGGATCAACTTCTGCCAAACATTGACTAGAAAAACACCTCAGAATATGTAGCGAAACAAGTCATTAAAATTAGACATGCTGAAAATTTGGCAACGAAAATTGGCACGACTAATCAAAACATACCACATTAAAAGTCATTAAAATCAGATATACTTGAGCAAATGGCATGCAAAATGGCTAAACTAATAAAAACATTCCACAATAAAAATCATAGAAATCAAAATAGTTAAAAATGACAAACAAAAATGACTAGACTACTCAAAGTATTAAAGCATGAGCATGAATCTCCCAATAAACAATGTTGATTAGGGAGGGAGGTGGGATTTAAAGATCAAACATCTTTCTCAATTTCATTTAGGATGCACTGTTTTGATTAAAGCTGCCACCTAGCGGTGAAATGTGTAGTAAAACAAATGCTGCCACCTAGTGGTGTTTCAAGGGCAATAACAATAATTCAGGATTGCCAAAAATGCATTTATTTACATAAATGTAAATTTTTGTCAACTCTTTTCCTCTGAATGATTCTGCTCCGTTTGATTTTCAACTTATTAAACTCAAACACATATTAGAATCGAAAATGGTCATTTATTAGCAAAATGACGATCAACGTTTTCATATACACAACATATGTACAATATGGAAAAATAATAACAAAACATATGCTAAATAGTTATAGTTAAAAATTGTGTCCCTGAAAATCAAAGGTGAGGGATCAACTTCTGCCAAAGTATTACTTAACAAGTAATACCCCCCCACCCAGAAATCATTCAGAGGAAGTCATGACATCTAAATACATGCAAGATCTAAAATGTTTTACCACAATGTTAAATCTGTTGAAACAGAGGCCCCTGTCCTCATGTTTCTTTGTATTTGCCAGCTGAGGTAGGCGTTCCAATAAGACCAGAGGTTTATCAACCTACTTTGAACTACTAAAAATTTTTGCATTCAATTGAAACTGAGGCCCCTGTCCCCAAGTTCCAATGTAATTGATAAAGAAGCAGCGGTAGGTTAGAATTACAAACAAGACAAAAATTATTTGACATACATCATGTACATAAAACACCTACAATAAAACTTCGTTCAATCGAAACAGAGGCCCCTGTCCCCATGTTTCTAAGATGATGACAGCTGATGAGGATTGTAAGAAAAAACAAGGGCCCATAACCCCATGATTTTCTGTTATTTGTTGTGTAACAGTGAAATTCAAATTAGATGTTCAACAATGGAATGCGAATATACTTTTTGTACGCATTTGATTTCCATCGTCCTAGCAACTGGATTTGTTCATCTGAGATTCCCTTTGATTTGGCTAACGTAGCTGCACCAATTCGGAATGAATGTCCTTTATAAAGTTTTGTGTCATAATTTAAATAATTAAGTGATATTTTTAATTGCTGATTAAAGTAATGTCTTGAAACTGGTGACTTATCCTGAAACATGAAAAGTGGTCCATCACTACTTCCTCTTAATTCTTTGTATTCCCACATTGCCAAAACTGCACATAATTCTGGTTTGTCTTTGTTGGCATTTAAATGAAATGTCACAGGTGGTTTTCCTCTATGATGCTTAAAATCAACCATGGTCAAAGTCATACATTCTGGTACACCATTCTGTTGTTTCTCAAATGACACTGCTGATAAATTTAAAGTGTTTTTTGTCGGGGAAGTGATTTCTCCCACCCTTAAGAATGCATGGAATGCTAATAAAAACATCGCCTTAAAAGGAGTTCTCTGATAAAATGACTGAGTACACTTAGGTAACGAGTTTATTATTCTCTGTAATATTATTGGCGTAATGGGAAGACGAGTATCTGGTCTAGCTTTGAGTTTCGAAAATCCTTGAATTGTTCGTTTCACAATGAAATTTTGAGTTGGATCAGGATAACCCTCCATTTTGTGAAAATGTGCCAAAGCTGACATGTATGTGGTAACAGTCTGAGGCGAAACTTCTTTCTGATAGCAGTAAGAAATAAATAAAACCAACTGTTCGTTTGTCATTGGAAACATTGGGGCTCCTGGAAAGTACTTGGATAAGAATTCGTTGCAAGTCAGCTTGGCTCTGTTGTAAGAATTCCGCGTTGAAACTGTCAAAGCATTTTCTGCCAAGTATATTGACAGGGACTTCAGAGCCTGAACATCTCTTCTGGTACAGGTGTCGACTGGTGATCCATATATGGTGCTAGTCTGTGAAACTCCAAAATCTGCAAACGAGACAATTTGTCACTGAGCACATTATTTACTCCTGGAACATGTTTAGCAACAAACAATATATTGAACTTTAAACATTGCACAATAAGTTTACGCAGAAGTTTCATAATGGTTGTTTCTTTGGCTGTTTGTTTATTAATCACCTGCACAACAGCCATGTTATCTGAAAAGAAACACACTTTTTTATTTGACATATCTTGTCCCCATAACTGAACAGCTACCACAATAGGAAAAAGTTCTTTAATAGTTATGTGATAGCTATGCCACTCTGAAATCCACTCCCCATAAAACCAATTGTTTCCAAAAATACCACCAAACCCTAAGCCACTTGCATCCGTGTACAGTTGTAAAGTTGCTGATGTTTGCCAAACGTCCTCTAAAAACATGGATTTTCCATTGAAGTTTTCAACGAAGATTGACCATGCCTCAAGATCAGCTTTAGCTTCCTTGTTTAGCCGACATCTGTGGTGTGGTTTACGTAATCCTTTAGTCAGGTCAATTAATCTTCGCAGAAAAGTGCGTCCTGGCTGTACTACTGCACAAGCAAAATTAAGGAGTCCCACTAAAGACTGAAGTTCATGGAGAGTAACCTTTTTTCTTTGTTTGTACAGTGAAATTTTTTCTCGCATTTTTTGCAATTTATCAAAAGGCAATCGGATCTCCATTTGGACAGTATCTAATTCCAGTCCTAGAAATGTTAAAACAGTTGTAGGAAGCACAGTCTTTTCTTGCTTAAGAGGCACTCCAATCTGTTTCATGAACTTCAAAAATAACTCTAGCTGACCAGTGCACAGAGGTAGACATGGGGGGCCAACTAATAAAAAGTCATCTAACATATGTACACAACCTTCAATACCTAGCTTGTTATTGACAACCCAATGCAAGGAAGTTGAAAATCTTTCAAAAAGACTGCATGCTGAACTTAAACCCATAGGCAATGTCTTATCATAATAAATACTATTTCCTACTGCAAAACCCAATAACTCATGGTCCAGTGGGTGGATAGGAATATTTTTATACCCATGTTCAATGTCAGTCTTTGCAAGTAGAGCACCTCTTCCAAATCGTTTAATCAGCTTAACAGCATCATCTACGGTTTGATATGTCACAGCAGAATATTCCTTTGAAATTCCATCATTAATTGATGACCCCTCTGGATATGACAAATGATGTATAACTCTGAATTCTCCCTGTTTCTGTTTGGGTACCAACCCCAGTGGAGATATTTGAAGGTTGCTAAGAGGTAAATTATCAACTGTAAATGGACCAGCTGCACGCCCTTTATGAACTTCAATATCAATTTTTTGTTGAAGAATATTTATGTTATCTATGGCCGAAGGAAGATTTTTACTATGCCTAAATTGTCTTGGTCCAGTATATGGAATTTTGAAACCAAAAGTAAAACCATCCAACAAAAATTTTGATTCTTTAGAGTCATAGCCATGTAGCCAAAACTTTAATGCTCTTGTGTCAACTGGGGTTATAACATTATCATTTAATCTTATTTCACTTTCTAGGCTGGCTTGCTGGGTTTTGATGTTTACTAGAGTTTGCAATGATTTTCTTGTTGGGCTCTGAGAACATGCTGCACTCTTTCTTTGGGTGCTCTCCAAAACATCTGCTGCAGATGTGCGCATACTCACAGTTTGGTCGAACACAGTTCCCATTATTGTTGTTGTAGCTGAAGCATGGCTTCTTACTTTTCCCACGAAAGGGCTGCTGGCTCTGTGATTTCTGTTTGTTAGTCTTTTCATTCATGTCTAACCGACTTTTAAGTCCAACTTGTAATGCCTCCAAGTGAAGTTCAGCATTGATTTTGTCCCAGGGCATCTGAGCAGGATTTTCCGCTCTCCAAGACCGAAACTGTTCATCGTAGAAAAAAGCCGCTTTTTCACCGACATCGTTGCTAAGTTTCTGGATTGTTGCCATGTACTTCATTAAGCATGGTGATTGTGATGGGAATTTCTCAGGCATAGAATGTGATGTCTGGTCGACACTACCTGTTGATGTTTGCTGACTTTTGTTTGCTGTGTCATTTCCAGGGAGGGGTTGTTGTACTGATGCAGCTGCACATCTCTGTTCAGATGAAGATGCAGATTGCGACAAGCTGTTGGATGGGTTATTCAATTCTTGTAGCTGTGCCACAACCTTGCTCGCTATTGTAGGAATAGCTTCTGCCACCATCTCTTTCAGCATATCCTTGACTTCCTCCTTGAAGCCTTCTGTAACCCGTCTCCTTTTCCTAGGCTGTGACATCTTGGCTGTAATATGAAGCATGTTGTAAGAACATGATATTTAATTCAGAATTGCTAACGCAAACAATAGACAACTAACATTGCCCAATATTTAGCTAACGCTAGAAACTGTGATCACTGCTACCGCAGCTTAATGTTTAACTCATAATTTCAGTTAACACTGAAGAACTACAAGTGTAGTCCCCAATAGCCTAGTTATCAGTAATTATCACAATGATACGTACTCAGATAATACCATGGCTAACACCAGATTGTAATACAGCTAACACTGCATTATATACAGTTAACACTGTATTTAATAAATTCAGTACAATTTAAGGCAAACATTACAGTTAGCACTGCAAAGAGTTGGAATGATCTAATTTAGTTAAGCTACACCTTTAAAGCCATTCCTAATGGAATGCACTGTATGATATAAAACTTGGCTAGCACCAAATATCTACATCTAGGGTTTACATTCATAGTTTATGCAAACATGATAATTAACACAGTTACCACTGTTTCCTGTTATAAGCATTTGAGATAGAAAGATATAGTTTTGTTAATTCAAAACTTTAAAAGCCAGTCTTAATGGAATGTACTGGATGATAAAATACTTGGCTAGCACCAAATATCTACATCAAAGATTTTATACATTCACTTCTCAGTGAGCCCTATTTGTAAATACCTGTGATATAATTACTCAAAATTCAGTTCAGCAGAGCTAACACTCTTGTCTGTTCCGTGTTGCACTTTCAAAGCTGCAAAATTAAGGAACAAAATTAATACATGTAGACATATATAATGCACCCAATATTTTAGCCATTCAGGGTGATTTTCTCCTTTTGGATAGTGTAGCAAAATATTAACTTATACATATGTGCAATTCCAAATATGTGAGAATATATAAACTAAATATTTATAATTTTATACAACATGTGCATCATAACTTTTTTTTTTTTTTTTTTTTTTTTTTTTTTGTGCTGAACATAATTATGAACATATAACCTTAATTACTGATATAACACATACAGATCAGTATTGCAATTCATATTGTTCAAACAAAGTCCTTTAGTAACTCATTTCCTCTTTGTTTATTTCTTACACATCACATCTTGCATACAAAATTGTTCCTTGAATGTTCTTGTATTTTGGTTGGCCAGTTTTCCAATTCATATATTCCCCATTCTTGAAATTAGATTGTCATATTTGTTTGAATTCTTACAAATTCCAATAACAACACTGGAGTCTGCCGCAAATTCCTTAATTTTGTTTAACTCCATAAAAAGATTATTGTATTTTGATGGTAAAATATATATATCAAGTTTTCTGACAAAAAGGGAGTTGACACACTTTCACATACTATTTGTTAGCAATAAAAGTTTAAATCTATTTTAACCGAAGAATCAAATTTTAACTTTGTTTACATAAATTCTTTATGTGTCTATATCATTTCCACACAGCTGGAACACTGCAAACTTTGGACGAACCAATAGTAACATTTTCAAACTGTTGTGTATGATCTACCTCCTGACATTTCATAGCATAGACTGTAATGTTCTTATATCCCCGAATTTTTCAAATCCTGACTTTGAGTCACGATATATTTTCAGTTTTACGATATGCGAATTCCTCAAAATCACAACATCCGCCGTGGTTTGTTTACTTGAATATTTATAGAAAGTTGACCAACATTTCTGACCAATCAGCGTCGAGCAGTTCTCCCGGGAAAATTATATTTAGATACACTGGTAGACAACCCGCAAGATCACCTTTTTACACAGTTACATAATTTCACAAGTAAATTAAAGTAAATTCCATTATAATGCAACTGTTAGGAACACTGTTGTTATTAAAGAAATCCCATAACTGTATTCGATGTACTTTTCACATTGATCAACACAATTACGTAACAACCCACGCTATCCGTTAAATTTACATAATTCGTCTCATCTTATTGTTTTACATCATTAAACTGAATTTTTTTAGAAATACACTTACAATACAAATGACGGAATAACTTCCTGATGCACTTCCCGTGTCTTATTTAAAGATCAAACATCTTTCTCAATTTCATTTAGGATGCACTGTTTTGATTAAAGCTGCCACCTAGCGGTGAAATGTGTAGTAAAACAAATGCTGCCACCTAGTGGTGTTTCAAGGGCAATAACAATAATTCAGGATTGCCAAAAATGCATTTATTTACATAAATGTAAATATTTTGCAAAAGCGTGATTTATGAGCAGTCCAGCACATGTTCATTTGACTTTGTAAAGGTTGCTTTTGCATGTTTTTATTTGCCCTCTTATCATGTGATAAAATTAAAAGAAAAACACTTCCGTTAAATTTTAGAGATTGCAATAATAATATATCGATAATTAAGTATTTAGCTAAGAGGCTATTAAATAGCGAATCTTTTGGAATGTGTGCCTTGAACCAATTAAAAATCAATTATATTTGAAAGAGCATTTGGTAAAAGACATCTACTTTATGAGTTTTAACGAAATCCTTGTATATATATCTTAATCCCTATATATATTCAATGAACTAGCACATTTGAAGTAAAATTGTAGCGTGCATTCAATATGTATTGATTGTCATATGTTGAACGTACGTTGAACATATAAATTTCCCGCAGTATTGAACATATGTTTTTAAGTTTTGAACATATGTTTGAATTATATGTTGAACATATATCAGACTCAAAACATATGTTGAACATATGTTTTTGGCAACCATATATTTAATGTATGTTGGCACTTTAACAATAAAAAAAACACGAAAGAGTGTGTTCACCATTTCAATCCACTGGCAAGAAAGCTTTGGTGATTTACTTGACACTCAAAAAAATCTTAAACGATAACAGTATGCATGTACAAAAAGTAATAGACTGTCCACATTAATTTCATTAAGTACTAGTTGAATGTAATTTAATGGGTTTTTTTTTAATTCAACGAGATAAAAAAAATACATTAATTTAAAATGATATCCGATCCTCAGCTACGAACGAAAACTCTTAAATCTATTATTTAATTTAAAAAGTCTAAAAATGAAGCTTGAAATTGAAATATTTTCTTGCAACAATTTTCATTTTATGCATCTTAATATGACTCAATGTTCTCTGAAATCTTAGAAATGATATTGTAAGAAGCTGATATTTGTACCCACAAAAGCACAAAGATAAATTCATTCTTAGAGAAATCGATTTTTTTATCTAGCATTAGATACCAATGTTTATTAGCATGATATGAAATTAGAAGTGATCTGTGATGTGTTGCAATGATAGCATAAGCTTTTTGCATTCTGTAGTATATAATTAACAACTGGAATAAATAAAAGAATTAAATTACTGTATAAGTGTGCAACGCATGCAATTTTTCTCCTAATGCCTTTATACCCATATTTTTGAATCCAAAAATATATTAATTTTTTTATTAATTTTAAATTAGAAAATCCATAGCTGATGCTTTCATTCGCATTTACTGAATATATATTTGCGATCTGATAATTTTTATTAACTTTACTGATGAACTATGAAAAAATACCATGGGTAGATATACGTTACTCTGTGAAGTCCGAGACATTTTTGTAAGCATGTTCAATTAATAAAAAGATTTTCAGAACCTTAGGATCACACTCCCTTAATGCTAATCATTTCTAGGTGAAGATGTTAAAGAGTTATAAGAAACCTTACATAAATAACACGGGGTTAATGTTACCTTTTTTGAAAAACAAATATCAAAATATATAAATATAATTTCAAATTTATATTTAAAGAGCCACGATGAGCATTTGTTGTAGAAGTTGGATAAAAAGAGGGATGTTAAATTTGATGAAAAACTTATTGAAAAGATAAGTTCGGATATTCTGCCAAGGAAGATCAGATCTTTGGAGAAATTGATTCGGGAGTTATCTGAAAACCGTCAGAGAATACTTGCCAATGAATTTACACTTGCAAGTCTTTCCAAAAGTATAAAATTAATCGAGGAAAGAAAATTTGAAATACAGATGAGCATTAACTCAATTAAATAGATTATAAAATAAATAATAATAGATTGGATGTATTTTGATGTAGCAATCAGGACTGAAGCATGCTGTATCATCGTCTAATGTTGGTAAAGAAAGTCGGAATGAAAGTTGACAAATTTAAATGCCAATTCTGATAGTGCGTGTATTTGTAAATTAACTTCAATTGCTATATTCGGCGTCAAAAATGTTGTTTATTGCATCGAAAATGAAGATCAAATGGCTCAAACGAATAATATATCTTTTTGACATTTAATGCTTGGAATTTTGATGATAATATTTTTGTACAAAATACTGATTTCCACCCCTCCAAAAAATCTCCAGAATTTAGACCAAGGAGATTAACATATTAAAGAAGGTTTAGCATATTCTTTTTATAGTTGCCCCATGCAAGCTTTGTCTTAAACCGAACATTTTTTTTTTCTTTCAATGCTCTTGTTATGTACAAATTACTAACACCTAAATGTCCGGAAGTCTTTAAAAAATTGCGTCCGAATGAATACTGAAAAAATTTAACATTCTCTGGTAAAATTTCATAGAGCTTTCTATGAAATTGCGAGAAAATAACCTCAATCCCCTTCACAACATAGAAAGATCTATTTTTAGGCTAGAAATTAAAATAGTTCAGTCATTGGAGATATATATATATATATATATATATATATATATATATATATATATATATATATATATATATATATATATATATATATATATATATATATAATCTCTCGATTATACTCGAGATCTAGATATACTGTATAATATTTATACTTGAAAAAGCGGGCTTCATATTTCAGCGCCTTTGGCGCTGACAAAATGCACTAATTAATGAATGCCGTTAATAAATCATTAATAAATACAATACATGGCGCAGACATATGTAGCACTAATTCGATTCATGATTATTCCAAGTACTCAATACCCAGTGATTGCGCTAAATTTTTAATACGCCAATTTATAAGCACGTACAGTATTTCATGTTTCCCTGTGACATTTTCTATCTTTTCTATGAGTCCTGTGTTGAATAAAAACGCAGCTAGTTGTTATTTGTTATAAATCATCAAGCAAGAACGTTTTTTTAATCTAACATTAGAACTAGAGTGTTCCAAGGAACGCATGTGTCGCCTGCTTTTAAGCTTCATTAAAGGTGTAAAGAAATCTAAGAGTGGTCAGCTTTTTATTTACTACTAGCATGATAGTTCAATTGCATTTGCCTGCAAAGAAAAATTGGCATCCATGGGAAGTATATGCGATAGAATCTGACAATCAAAGAAAATATGGTTCCCTAACCCTCAAATGAATATTTAAATTGAAATTTTTAGAAATAATTATTTATCATTTCATAATGTGTTTCCAACAATCCTCCAAAAGAGATTTCAGTCTGTCTTTACTGCAATTGTAAGTCTACACGATCCATTGTGGAATACCGATCCCCATGTATTTTCATGATATTTAAATATAAGTTGGTGAGGTTACTGAATATCACACAGTTTCAAATTATAGTAAAATGAGCTCATAAACATGACGTATAGATGCTAATTATAAAAATTCTGCCTCTCAAAATTCAAAAGTCATAAGTTGGATTAAATTGCCTAGGATATTTTTTGCAAAGCAGGTCAAAGGTCAAGGTCAAGTGGATTGTAATGCTGGTATTTTTCATAATGTCTTATTACAAACAGTGCACTTGCTAAACAGCAAAGACTTACCTCTTTAATGTCAAAAATATTCTGTAAATCGGCACTATGAACGATTTTGAAAAGTAGGTCCAAGGTCAAGGGTCACGAGGTCGGTAACTATGGTAATTTATAAAAGCCATAGTGCCAAGCAATATATGTGCAAAATATCAAATCCATACCTCTTACAGTTCTCGAGATATAGGGAGTGACAGTTGGACAGACGGACGGACAGCCAGACAGACGCCGGGTAAAATGATCCCTTAGTGCCGGTCTGTTCTGCAGGCGACACAAAAGGCTATTCAATCAGACTTGACAACAGTCATTATTTAATTAGCAAACATTCTTCAATAGTTTCCGATGTTTAAACAGAGTTTTTTTAAGCACCCAGGGCGTTTATTTTCTTTCATCTTGGGTTCATCATCACATCTTAATACCGATATTCAATATCATGTCATTAGATTCTTAAAATTGTGAAGATGTTTGGGTATTTGGGTTTATTTTTCTTCCGTTTTGCACGAACTCGACCAAACATAGATGCACAGACGCCTTTTATGTTCTCTCCAAATCGTTGCAAGAAGATAAAAAGCATGAAGAGAGGACTCAGGGAGATGTTTGAATGCTCAGAAAAGAGGATATATATATATGTGGGTTTGGGTGTGTGGAGACAGAAACAATACGTATATTAAATTTACAAATGAATATGTGTCAGGTTAGAAGATTTATATAACACAAACAAAATATTTGATGCATTGATTGATAATTTTTTTGACTGATTTTTAACAAAAATGACATAAAATAAAAAGAAATAATAAATTACCTGAATGTAAAGAAGTCGTAGTTTGTGCCATTTTCTATATAAATCTTTTAAAAAAGCATACAATTTATGACATTTTTATAAAATTTTTACAAAATTTAAAAATTTACTTACTCTGGCAAACATAATTCAAGTTATCTGTATGAACATATATATAAATCTATTAGATATGTTGCTGATATCTAAACAAGAGACCCCAAGGGCCTTAACGGTCACCTAAGCGTAATACAACACTGTAAAGGATCCATAGAAGTACAGTGAAACTGTCTAATCAAACAGCTCTGGGAGACAAATTTTGTGTCGGAATAGACAGGATATCTGGTTACACAGTGTAAAGAACATGGAAAAAAGTAAAATGGGAATGAAAATAAAGATCGGGATTCACGGTGAAACAGATTGCACAGGGTCGGATTAGATAATTTTCGCAGTATATAATAAAACAAAACCGATAAATGGAGATATGTTATTCATTAGCAAGAGAAATAGGATGACCAGGGATCAGCAAAATAGTTTGTCTAGTACTCAGTAGTACTCAGTGGTACTCAGTAACAAGTCATAAGTAGATTTATTTACTTGTCAGTGCTAATACATTCCCAATCGTCACTTTCCAGATACAGACTAAAGAAAACAATATTGCTTAATCATTTGTAGTAAACCCA